AGCCGACCAATAAACTCGATGGGATGGGATGGGGTAACACCAGGACAGTGGCACAACTGAGCCCACACGGGACAACCAGGGCTGGCTCCAAGTTTTTTGCGGCCCCAAGCAAAAAAATTTTCCCGCGCCCCCCCGACCCTACCCCAACTCCGCCCTTTCCCCGCCCCATTCCAACCCCTTCCCCAAATCCTCGGCCCCGCCTCCTCCCCCGGGCATGTCGCATTTCCCCTCCTACCCCTCCCTCCCAGGCAAGCCTGGGAAGCAGAGCAGCGGTGCGCTCGAGGGAGGAGGCGGAGGTGAGCTTGGGGGGGAGCTGTTCCTCTGCCGCCCCCCCCCCCCGTTACTTCGTGTGGCCCTCCCCGCGCCCCCGCAGCTCGCCTCCGCTCAGGGCCAGCTCCCGGGTTTTTTTTTTTGCTTGGGGCGCAAAAAGGAGCCGGAGTGCCACCCCTTGGAAAGTGCCGCCCCAAGCACATGCTTGGAGCGCTGGTGCCTAGAGCCGGCCCTGGGGACAACTGAACCAGGACAGGACGAAACCTGAGCCCCACGGCGCTGTCATTCAAAACAAGGACACCACTGATACACCCAGGCTGTGTGAGTGACAGCTAAGAGGCACTCAGCTCTGGGATCTCCCAGGCCCGCCATGCTTGACTCAGATGATCACAGGGTACAAAAGGGGCAGAGACCAAGCACCAGCCTCCCGCGACTGTGAGGCACTTGAGCTTATGAACCAACTGGGATGGGCACCTTCAGCGATAAAGACTCAGGCAGACGACTGAAGTGAGGCCACCAGTGGTGTGGGCCAAACACCAAGCTGCGTGATGACTGCGGCGCCACCCGCTGGGGCACGTCCCTCCGGCAGGACAGATCTCATCCCCCTTCTAGGGCAGGGCTGACAACGCGCAATGCCAGCAGAACCAGGCACTCCTGCTGGAGGAGCGCTCAGCGTTGTGGGAAGGAGTGGGGCGTGCCATCACGGCACCAGGGTGGGTGGGGGGCAAATGCCCACTTAGGGCCTGATCTGCAGGGCATGCCAAGCGTGCCCAAGTCCAGCCTAAGTCCACTGGGGCCGCGGCCAGGTGATTTCGAGGGGCTCGTTGTGAGACCCCGGAAAGGGAGCTGATTTTCAGGGGCTGGAGCTTAGCGCATGGTGAAAATCCGGGTCTCTAAAGTTGGGCCTCTCAGAACTGCTGCCCCTGAAATCACCAGTGACCCTCTCAGCCCAGAGCCTCGATCAGCCTGGGAAAGGGCTGCCCAAAATCCTCCCCTGCCATGCAGCCGTCAAACATTTCCAGACGCGCTTTCTGCTGGGGTGGAAAGTGACTAACACGCTCCGGTCGCTGCCAGCCGCACTGCTCTCCACTGCTCATGCTCACGGCTATGCTGGCTTCACATGATCTCCGGTTCCTTCTCCTTAAAATACTCCATGACGCACTGAACTGGACGGAGCGCCAGGGTTTTCCTTCTCATCTTTCGCAGGCATTTCTGAACTAACACGCCCAGCTGCAGGCCTGCACCTCTTTACAAAACTGCCTTCTACAGAGTTTGCATCGCAGAGGAAGCGCTACCCAGTGGTTAAGACAAGGGACTGGGCGTCCGGACACGGGGGTTCTCAGCCCAGCCCTGCAACTGACGCATTGCCTACATTTGGGCAAGTCACTTCCCTTCTCCGGACCTCAGTTTCCTCACCTGCAAAATGGGGATAAACCTGCCCGCCTTTGGGAAAAGCCCCGAGACTCTCCAGCACAAGGCGCTAGATAACGGCACTAAGTATTATTGTAACCTACTCCAGCTGTGGCTCTGACGAGGCAACCCCAATAGACCACCCCAAAATATCATCAAGGGCATGTCCTGAGTACAACCTCGCGCCAACCTTTACTGTCCGCCCCACGTCACAGATGGGGCGCGCGAGGAAGGGAGAAGGGCTGCCCCAGAGGGAGGCGGGGTAAGAATTCTGGGACAACGAACCTCGGCACAAGGGGAAAGCGCGTCAGCGCAGGGCGTTTTCTCTGCGCAGCGAACGCCTGTGAGGTCCAAGAACGCTCTCCACGCCAAATGCCAGGCATAATTGTTGGCCCTCCCTTGGCTAATATAAACCCAGAGCCCAGCAGCCAGAACTCCCCTGCCCGGGATAAATCCACCCTGCAGGGCGAGGAAGAAGGAAAAGACCCACGTGTGAGAGATGCCAATCCTGGCTTACTGGCAGGCGCCCACGTCCCATGGTGATGGGCACAGTGTAAGCACTTGAGCAGGACACACACAGAGGACGCCCTGCCGGACACCGCACCGCGATGCTTCCCAGCAGGCCGTCAACTGAGACCGGACGGGAGGATCGGGGACACAAGGGAAACGTTGGGCATTGCCTATGTAGACACCCTGCTGGATACCACGCTGGGAAGCTGCGGGCTGGAGTACCCGGGACCCAGGCTGCTGCAGGCTGCATCCAGTGGGACATGCCAAAGTGCCAACCAATGGCCTGGACAAGAAGAGGTCCCCTGCTAAGCAGAGAGACCCGGAGAACTTGGTGAGCACAGCTGGGCTTGCGGGCTGAGGCAGGGTTTGGTGTGGTGCTGTCTAGCCTGGCCCCTGGCTCCCAGCCAGGATCGGTCATGCAACATCTATCCCAGGGAAGCTGGTTTTAACCCCCTGCACCAGCTGGGGCATTTCTGAGGCATGATTTAATGTGTCTGGTGTTCTAACCCCTGGGCCTGAGGTTGGTTCCCAGAGTGAAAGGGTTAACGACTAAGCGACGATAAGAGACACGCTGCAGCCTCTTTCCTCCAGACGCCCAAGCGGATCGCAGGCAGGCAGGGCAGGGCTTCACCTGGAATGCAGCTGCCTCTGGGGTGGAAGGCAGCAGCCTGTCAACACCGCACAGCAAAGCCACCAGAATAATCCTGGAGCAAAAGTGATGCTATGCAATGGAAACCGCATGGCGGATTTAAGGAGGCCAAGTGCAGTCAGAGCTGGAAATCAGCCAGGGGAGAGCGCCACGATCATGGCCAGGGAAGGCAAGTGTTTCCAATGAAGTTACCACACTGAACGCTTGCTGTTCATGGCACTCCCGGGCACAGAGCGCTACCCGCACAGGCCCCTGAGTGGCCACGGCTCCCCAGCCACCAGAGCCACACAGCAGCTCTCCAAAGAGAAGCAGCTCCAGCCACCCCACTGCATTGTCCCCAGAGGACCCAACCCCTGGAATCTGCTCCGATTCTGACACCCCAAGAACCAGAGAGAGGGGAGGGAAACAGCCCCCCTCCCAAAGCTTCCTCTCCCTGGACGCGTGCTGGGGCCCGAACCCCAGGGTCCTTCCTGCCTCGTCACTCCGTCCTTGAGAGGCCAATGGAGGGAGCAGGGCCCCTGGCTGCTCTCAGCCCCCCGCTGCCCTGGAATCCTGCTCTCGGGAAGGCTGCATTTCTGGGCAATGACAAACCAGCTCTTTCTGATCCAAAAAAGGAGCGGAGCGGTGGGGAGCTCCGACACACTCGCTTAAAGGGGCTGCCGGAGCCCTGGGCTTCCTTCCCAAACTGTTCCAGCTACTGAAGGACCCCCCTCCCCCTCTTTAACCTGCTCAAGCTACAGCCAGAGAGTTAAACACTCGCCTTTACGAGTAGCCGGCTCCGCTTTGGGAGGTTTCCTCTGCACTGGAATAAAGGGAGCCCCCCGCCGGCGTTTCTCTCTACAGACGCCGTTTCTTATTCTAGGCTTGTACAGCGCCTGGCACAATGGGGCCCTGTTCTCGGTGGGCTCCGGCACTACCGTAATAAACACGTTCAATCCGAATAAGATAGACGATCGAACAATAATATAATACGCACCGACTACCGGGATCCCATGTAACACAGGCATCGGCAGCACAGAGCTCTTTACCGCCCTCAATCCGGCAGCCTTCTCCCTCGGCTGGCCGCTCCCCGGGCACAGCCCTGGCCCAGACTAACATTTCCTTCTCAATTTTTCCTTTTAAGTTGTTTGGGGATTTTGCGACTGGGACGTCCTGAGGCGGGAGGGAGGAGAGCCCCCCCCCCTCCCGAGCTGCAGGGAGCTCCTGGCTGAGGCCTGCCATTGGCCGCCGGAGCCGCACACCGCAGGAATGCCCACGCCCCCAGCCCAGCACCGGGCCGGGGAAACCCACACAAAGGTTCCTTGGAATCCGAGCCGGGAAACAAAGCTGGCCCTTGGCATCCAGCTCCTTTCGCACCTCCTGGGTCTCCTCTGCGGCCCTGCTCCAGGAGGGTCGGCTGCATCACATGCACAGACAGAAAGACAGACGCAGGCAGGCAGACACCCGAAACTGCACCGCCCTGGTTCAAAAACCAGTCGCTCCAAACACACCCATAGGCCGGTGCCTTGGCCGAGGAGAGCTGGGCCAAATTCATCCCCGGGGTAACTCGAGAGGACGTGCCCCGCCTGATCGCAGCCACGGCCCAGCTAGGCTGGGACCCTGAACCCGCCAGAGGTCAGCCCCAGACGTATCAGAGGAAGGTGCAAAAGGGCTCCAATTCCCCGCACTGCCATTGACCTGCCAGGTGAGCTTGGGCATGCCAGGTCCCCGCTTGGTGCCTCAGTTTCCCCTCTCACCCTTTGTCTATTTCGACTGTAAGCTCTTCGGGGCAGGGACTGTCTCATACTGTGTGTCTGGGCAGCCCCCAGCACAATGGGGCCCTGATCTCTGTTGTCCTGTATATCACAGTAGTGCCAACACAAACCAGGCAATTAGGCACTAACCCCGAACCTGCCCAGGGGAGCCGTTCCTTCCTGACCCCAGTGGTTGCGAAGGCCCTGAAGCTGGAGGGTTTGGAACCCAGGGACTTCCCTGATGGCTCTAGAGTAGCCTGTGATGCTCCGGGGCCCTGGGAGTGGCTCTCATGCAGGCCTTGGGTACGTTTGGGGTTCCCCTTGCTCTGTATGGCCTTAGGGCGGGTGGATCACAAGAGCTCTGCCCTCCCCGCCCCCCAGCGTACTGCTGACACCCAAGCTTCTAAGGGATGGGGACCGAACGGAGGATCTTTCTTGCCCAAGGAGACAAACTCCCCTCACCCCCTAGCCAGCATCCAAGAGTGGGGAAGAGGGGGTGGGTCCTGTGTCAATCACGCCTTGATGACCCGGTGCTGCTTCGCGCCCTGGCAGTGGGGTCAGTGGGCTCCGATGACTTTGTCCCCCTCCTCCATTCCCTGGGGCACCGCTCCTTTAACACAGCTCAGCCCACCTGCCCGGGGACGGAACTGCAGGCCGCTGGGAGCATCTAGTCCGACCTGCCATGGAAGCCTGCCCAGCGATTCCTACACCCAGCCCGACCACCCGCGGGCGGCACTACAGCGTGTCTCCCAGAAACGTCCCCCATCTTCACAGAGGGACTCGGAGTGATGGTGAAGCCACCACATCTCTGGACAAACTCCCCCCATCCACCCCTGGCTCATTCCCTGCACTGCTAGACGTGCCTCTTCTCTGCAGGGTGATCTGGGATGGTCTTACCTCCATTCCACCCCCCAACAGCCACGTCACGGCGACCGACCCCGGCCCAACACCCAATGATCTGTCACTTACAACCAGGGTCGGCTTTATTCCATCTCCCTCCTCACACGCTGCCCCCCCCCCGCCCCGGGTGCCCCTTCCTCGTTCCATCCCTCCCCGCTCTCCCAGCGCAGTGGATGTTTGCAGCTGCAACCAGAGGAGGTGGCCAGTCAGCCCAGGGCAGGAGACGGGAATGGATTTCAAACAGGGTCGAGATGAACAGGCCAGCAGCATTCAGAACTGGCAAACCCCCAATCCCAGCAACCAGCCTTGAATTCAGAACACACCAACCCCAACTGATGCATGGCACCCCAAGGAAATGACACCCCGTCAGGCTGCTATTAAAGGGAACCCGAAAGCCCCCCCCCCAAATTCCACCAGCCTCACCTCCAATCGAGGGAGGGGCTCAGGCGCGAGGGATTTTAAGTACCACGGTTCAAACCACGCGCACAGATGGCCGCTGCTAATCTGCTGGAGCAGGGCCCCAACATCAGGTTTGCCCAGATAACCCTCCCCCTGCAATCAGCCTCGTCACGCTGATCTGGCAGCCCTCAGCCTCCCACTGTCCCATCAGCCCCTTGGAGGCCACACGCACCCTCTTGGGCATGACGCACGCCTGGCAGCCTTGCAGAATACTGGCTAGCTAAGGTTAAGCAGGGCTAGGCCAGCGTGCAGCCCGAAAAGCTGCTACTGCACAACACATGGCCCCTTGCTTTTCATAACTGGACACGTCCCTGCGGAGACTACAAGTCCCAGCATGCAACAGGGCCACACAGAGGCGTATTGAATGCGGGGAGCTGTTCTCTCTGCCGGCTGCCCCTCCACAGGTAAGATGAGGGTGACTCAGGTGCACCTGACAAGGTGCCCATGTGGCCCCCAGACTGTCATCTGCTCTGCTACCCTGGAGAGCGGCAGTGCCCAGCCCCACTGCCCGAATAATGCCTGGCGAGGGGCTCGGGGTCAGTCCCACCCACCAGTAAGGGGGAAGGGCTCTGTGCAGGGCGTGGCGCACCCTGCTCAGCACCGGGAGAGTTCAGCAGCAAAAGGCTCACCAGCTGGAGGACGTCCTCATCTTTGGGCATGATGGAGAGTTCCAAGGCATCGTCACTGCAGAGAGAGGGAAAGGCAGAGCGCGTCAGGGTCCGGATACCGCGTGCAGCCAGGCGCCGAGCCCCGCCGGGACCAGAGGCAGCGACCGGACGCCAGGACTCAGCAGCCGAGGTGGGTTCCAGACGCACAGGACAGCACTCCCCACCTGATGCTGTGCGAGTGGCTGGGAAGGAGGCAAGGCCTGCGACTGACAGGCAGCTCTGGGATTTACCCTCGAAGCTCAAGTGACTGAGGCGTGTGCTTTTGGTGCTGGAAGTCCAGGGTTCAATCCCCACCGACCCGGTGTCTGGCTGGCTGCGGCCAGGGGCAGGGGTATCTGATTAGTAGGAGTTAACGCCAAAGGAACAAGGATGGTGGGTTTTTTGTTTTTAAGTTAAATTCCCCGGCACCGTTTAAAGGCTGCAGATCTGCAGCATCACGGCCCTGGGCTACTGCACGAGAACTGGGCTGGGGATTCTCAGGGCAGCGGTTTTACTCCAAGGGTTGGAGCCGGAAGATCCCAGCAGCCCAGGGCCCATGCAGCCGCAGCAGCTCACACATGCAGCCCGGGACAGTAGACGCTGCTGTTACTCCGCGAGGAGACAGCGGCCAAGCCGCCACGATGGGCCATTTTCCTTCCCAGGGGACAGGAAAGACTTTGTCTTAACGCCACATGCAAAAGACAGGACCTGTCACCGTGTAGTTACGCACCCCCCCCCCCCCCCGCCTAGCTGCATGGGGGTGCACAGCCAGCAACAGCTCTCAGATCCAGCCCTGGGCTGGGCATTGACTCACAGGCCACACAGCCGCCCGCTAACCGGAGCGGCGCACCTGGCAAAGGCACCTGCTGCACCATGTCCCCTCATCTCACCTCTCCCTTAGTCGGAGCAGGGCCCCTCCCCATCCCCGGGAGGCACTCGCCCACCCTCTCTCCTTCAGTCCCTCCTCCCAACTCGGCTCTGCCAAGCCCACCATTGCGAACTTGCATCGAGAAAAGGACTGGGAGTCCTGACCCCTAGTCCCCCTGCTCTAACATACCCTCACGGGGAGCAGAATGGAACCCAGGAGTCCTAGGGCCAGTCCCTGCTCTAACCATTAGCCAACATTCCCTCCCAGAGACCAAGATAGAACCCAGAAGCCCTAGCTCCCAGTCCCTGCTCTAACCATTAGACCATGCTCCATCACAGAGCCAGGCCTGGAACCCAGGAGTTCTGGTTCCGCATCCCCTGCTCTAGCCACACGACCACTCCCTGTTCCTTTGGTGACAGCGGTTGCTTATTTCTCTCTCAACTAGCGAAAAGCACAAGCCATGGCAAGAAACTGCAACAAACCCCCAGGAAAACCCATTTCAGTTTGAGAGCCAGTCGACAGCATATAGCCCCCACCGTTCCCCTCCCCTGCTGACTGCCACCGGGTATTTTTCCAAATGCATTTAGCACCCAGGGCCGTATCTTATATTTAGTTCGTATCCAGATCACTTTCATTTGGTTCGTTCCCCAGGTGCTATATTTAGGAGCTATCGTGGTCAGGTTTGCCCCTCTATCTCCCCTATCTAATCAGTAGTTACACACAGAGTACAACACACACAAATCTAGGTCATTAATTAAATCCCAGCTCCAAAGAGAGACAGACACACACACACTGGCTTCTTTCTTCCCTTTTCGGTGTGTCAGGGAGCGCGTGAGAACGAAGGGGAGGTAGGAAATTCTCCCACATCCATCAACTCAGCGCTGGACAGACTGAAACGCTGCAACTCCCTTCTGCGCCGACCTGCGCCCCTGGCCCCCCGGCGAGAAGAGGAGCAGGGTTGCCCCAAATCTGGCTGATTTGTTGTCACGCCAGGTTTCACCAGCACCGCCACAGGCAACATCTTAGGGCAAAGGAGTCGGGGAATTAAGCTGCCCTGTGGTGTCCCGGCAACGTGGGCAGCAGCGCCCACACCCGCCGGAGGGCGAGTACGGCAGCCGATCCGGCACCCGCCAGTAATCCATACTGGGACACATAAATAAACGGCTTTTTCCCAAGTGCCTGGCGATGGGGACCCACCTTCCTGGGGCCAGACCTCAGCACTTCATGCAAATCAGGCCCCTTGGGGTGTCTCACGGTGGCCACCCAAAAATCACTCGTCACTTTGGAAAAGCTTGGTCTAGGGCCCAGCTCCTCCAAGGTGTTTAGGCACCCGATTAGCACTGGCCCCACTGGGAGTTAGGCGCCCACGCACCTTTGAGGATCTGGGCCTAGATGGCGGATTTGAGTGTGAACTTTTTGGCCTGAGCCCCCAGGGGGCACTTCGTCTCAGCCAGCAGTCTCGCCCCGGGGCGTATCCGGCCCCCCACCCTGTGGCACAAGCATGCTCTCACCTGTTCTGGATCAGCGCTATGACCTGGGAGTAGGTTTTCCCGATGATGCTCTCCCCGTTCACCTTGACAAGCCGGTCTCCTGCAGAGGGAACATAACCGCGGGCCCACGCGTGAATGGGAGAGCAGCTAGCCAACCGGGAGCGAGCACAGCTGGCGGTAACCATAGCAACGTGCGATACCGCCCATAGCATGCCGCTACCCGTGGGGGCACTCGGCACCTCGCAGGAGGAGGGGCAGCGGAGTTAAGAGAGCCCCGCTCTGTCCCCAGCAATGGCGCTGGAAATCATTCTTGCCTTTGCGCACACGGAGCTGGCTTGGTCTCCGACTGCTCTCCTGCCTCAGCCCGTCGGGCAGACGACCCGTCCCCTTTGCAGCCCTGTCCCTGTTCACGAGCGCTCAGCGGCTGGGCCAGGGAGCCACGGCAGGGCGGGACCCTCGCCTGGCCTCACTCGGCACTGCTCCACCGAAGACAAGGGAGCGCCCCAGGTTCGTGCCAGCTGACGTCTGGCCCAGAGGATACAACACTCAGCGCCTTCCTTCCGGTTTACTGCCTGGTCATTTTAGCCGGGCACATGCCATCCCCACCCTGAGCGCTGGCAGAACGGTTACTGCTGTCGCCACCGACACCTGGGGGTCCAAAAGTGCCAGCCCCTGCGCTGCTCCGTGTGGGCACCAGCAGACGGTGGCAGCAGACAACTGCTTTCAGAGCTCGTAGGATAGAGCAATGGGCAAGGTGGGGGGAGAGAGAGAAAGCCCCTTCCCTCTGCCCCTAGCCACAGCCTGGAGCGAACGATCCACTTGGGCGGACAGGACGCCGTATGGACAAATGTCACACAAGGACAAGGACGTTTTCCCCCAGGCTGTGAGCTCTGAGGCGAGGCCTGTCCAGTGAGGTTCTCTTATGGGGTTCCCTAGGTTCTGCTGCCACCAAGCTATGGTGACTCCCTTCTTTCCCGGAGGAACCCTATGCCCCAACGCCCCCCCTTTCAGCCCGCCGCCAGAGGGCAGGGGCACGCCCCCGGGCGCTGCAGGATGGCTACGTGGCTGGCACACAGCGAAGAAGAGCAGCCCAGGAGCATGGAAGGGGTTGAGAAGATGTCCTCTGGGTGGAGCCAGGGACTACGGACCCGTTAGGGGATCTGCAGTGAAAGCCCCAGCCACGTCCCGTGCACCCAGGATGCACTTCCACTCCCCACCCCCCATTAGTTAATTACCGCTTGAGAAGCGATTCTGGCTCTGGCCCAGGCTCCACCACCGGTTCCCCCCCCGAGCTGAACGGAGCTAAGAGACGCGCCGGAGGGAGCCTGGCAGGACTCGCTGGAGTTAGAAGGAATCAAAGCTTCTCTCCCGCTCCTCTGCGTGAAATGGCTTCGCTGCTAATACACAGAGTGCCAGTCTCCTTCCCTCTCTGCTCCCACCTCCATCGGCGCCTCCCCTGGTATTCAGTGGGGTTCAGCTCATGCCCTGTGCTCTGCAGACAGGCGCCTGCCAGATTTGTCCCTTGGGCCCCTGCAGACAGACAGGGCAGGCACTGAAATTTGTGCCTTGATTTGGCCTAAAGATTGTTTTCTGCCTGCTTGTTTGTAACCCTAGAGACCCCAGCAATGTCAAGGGGTGTAACCCTAGAGACCCCAGTCCAGAACGTGGGTTTGAATCTTTAACAAAGCCCTGTTCACCCCCAGCTGTTTACCAAGCGTTTGAATTCACTGGAAGGGTTTTTCGGTCTGTTTCCAATGTGAGCCCTCAGTCCATTGGATTTCAATCCCCGCCAGGAGCACTTTGCCACTGGCTTTCCCAGTACAGTCTCCCAGGTCACCCCCACCCAGTGGGGAGCATGGTACCCAGTGGGGGGCTCCCTCACCTGTGCGGAGGCCAGCCTGGTGCGCAGGCCCATCTTCCTTCACATTCTTCACAAAGATGGTGTCCATGGGCTCCAGGCGGCTCCGCTGGGGACCTGCGCCAGGAAAGGGAAGGGAAAGTGCGTCAGAGACCAGAGCTCAGCACCAGGTGGGTCCCTCACAGGAAAGATGGGTACATGCTGTATACTCACACACTCACACGTGCTCACTGGACACACACACGCAGAGAACTACGTGCATGAGCGCGCACACACACACGCTCATGTGTACAGGCTACACACGCAGAGAACTACATGCATGAGCACACACACACTGGATACACACACACGTGCATGTGTATGGGCTACACACGCAGAGAACTACGTGCATGAGTGCACACACACACACTGGATAAACACACGCTCGTGTACGGGCTACACACGCAGAGAACTACGTGCATGAGTGCACACACACACACACTCATGTGTACGGGCTACACACACAGAGAATTACATGCATGAGTGCACACACACACACACTCATGTGTACGGGCTACACACACAGAGAACTACATGCATGAACATACACACACACTGGATACACACACACGCTCGTGTGTACGGGGTACACACGCAGAGAACTACGTGCATGAGCGCGCACACACACACTGGATACACACACGCTCGTGTGTACTGGCGACACAGAGAACTACGTGCATGAGCACACACGCTCGTGTGTACTGGCTACACACGCACAGAGCTACATGCACACACACTGGATACACACACACGCTCGAGTGTACTGGATACATACACACAGTATCACGTGCTTGAGCGCACACACAAGTCATACACACACAAGACACTCACATGCATACACACTGGCTACACACACGCACTGCCAGAGCCACACAGAACACACATCGCAATTAAAACCACCACCAGCAGGTTCCAGCACTGCAGCTCCACACTGACAAACACAGACCTCAAAGGCCAGGACCCAGAGGAACAACCTGGTCCTCGGGCGCCGTACGTTAGCTGAGAGCGGGACAAGGTCCTCCTGGGCGGGAGGGAAGGAAGGTTTCAGCCCCTCTTCAACTGGTGGTTCTCAGCCTCTCCTCACCTGGGACCCAACCCCCAGCCCCGATTTCTTGCCACGCCCCACCCCATCCCACAATGCTTTGGCCGCAAGGGATTGCTGTCCCAGCAAGAGGCTGTGGGTGGTTCAGGGTTACGGGCAGGGAACGGCAGAGCAGGAAGGGGCAGGAAATGTGCCTGAGGAGTAACCCGTGTGCGCCCTGCTCCATCACCTGGGCCCCCCTCCAGCCTCCAGACGTGCTTCCTCTGCAGCCAGTCCCCTCCCCACAGGGCTGGAAGTTCTCCGTCAAGCCCGGCGTGTGGCTATCCGTTCTGACTGCATCAGATCCGGTTAACTCAACTCCAGCCTGGAGGTGCAGGCTGGGTGCTGGGCTTCAGACCTGTCCTCTGCACAAAGCCAAACCAAGAGCAGCTTCAGTCACTAAGTCACGGCTCCCCGCCACGTCCAGGTGCCCTCCCGGGAGCGCCCGCGCTCCCCCCGCTGGGCCTCAGCAGACGCCACTCAGGCACGGACACTTGTACACCTCTAGGGCCCTGATCGGAGCTTGGTCTGGGATCTGTCTACAAGGCCAATCCCACCCCCCCGCGCCATGACTCTGCAGGGCTGGCGATCCCTGTGCAGGGAGAGGCCTCAGAGCGTGGGTGCTGCAGGACAGGCTGGGGGGCAGCGCCAGGCTGGGCACCCCTGTAGGCCAGGATGGAGGTGGATCATCCCCAGAGCTAGGGGTTAGGAGGGGGAGAGCCTGGGACAGGAACAGAATTGAGGTGCGCTGGGAGAGACGCGAGGGAGACCCAGGAGCAGAGCAGCAGAAGGGGCTGCGGGTCGGGATTGAGGACGGACCTGTGGGGGTTTGGGGGTGCCCAGAAGAGGAACAGCAGAAGGAGGCTGAGTGTTGGGGCTGGGAAGTATTTGCAGAGCTGTGCACAGGGGGAGCCCAAGAGCGGAACAGCAGGGAGACCACAGGCCAGAGCTGCAGATGGGCCCCATGACAGGAAGGTCGGCGGAGGGGTCGCCAGTCACATCGGAGAGCACTGGCGGAGCTGCGGCCAGGGAGGGCACAGCCCAGGACTCAGCCTGGCTGCCTGACTCTCACAGTTGCTAGCCCACTGCCCAAGCGTTACGCTTGTCTCAGACACGACACGACGGGGGCTGAGAGCCAGAGGGCCTGTCTTGCACTGTAACCCCCAGGGCAGCAGCTGGGCTCTTGGCTGGGGCAAGACACCAAGAAACCGCGGCCTAGAATCCAGATACAAACAAGGCGAAAGCCAGTGACGTGCACCCAAAGCACCCGCCGGCAGGCTGAGGGAGTCGCTTTGCACCCTCCAATCCCCCCAAACCAAAATGTCCCCAGCTGGGGAAACGCTGTAAATCTAGGGCAAGTCAGTTCCCAGCCTGGGGAGGGATGAACAGCACCGAAACCAGCTTTATCCCTTCCCAGGAGCACCCGGTCTGCGGCCGGCACACAGCCGGAGCCAACGAAGAGCATCCGGGCAGCCGAGAGAGGTGGGAGAACCAGCTGGGTGTGGGATCTAGTCGGGAAGGTCCTAGCTAGGGGCGGAGATGTGGGGAAGTGCCCAAGCTGCAGATCTTGGTATTGCCAATGGGGCATCACCTAACGGATTCGGGGATGAATAATGCAATCGCTAGTAAGCGGGGGAAGGGGACAGAGACCCCCGAATGGCTGGGATGTTAGGGGGATCGTACCACAGCATCTCTACCCGGGCTTCCTCCTGAGTTCGCCCCAGCAGGCAGGGCAGCCTCCCTTGGCATTGGGGGTGCCCAGCTTGTCCATCTCTGAGTGCGACGGAGCTGCCACTCAATCGCTGAGCCGGTTCAGCTCCGGCCTAGGTTTATTTCAGCAGATTGGCCATTCGCGCTAAGGGGAGCTGGGTAACTTCGTCCGTGCTGGAAAGATCCCCCCTCCCTGCCCGGCCAGTCAGCTGCTACACTGATCCGCTGCTCACCATCGTCTGCAATCACTTCCCTGGCGGGGAGGTACTGAGTGTGGGCTGGTCGGTAACGCAGGCCAGAGCACCAATCGGCTCCCTTTCACACACGGACACCCATACGTGTCTGGCCACACGGGGACACACACACACACACACACACACACGTGACACACACACACACGCACGTGCATAGACGAGACAAGCGGCAGGGTGCCAGAGATGGGTGCTTACCTCCTCGGTTTCCATTCTCTTCCTCCTGCACAGGGAAGAGAGAGAGACCAATGTCACAGAGGCTTTGGAGGAGTCCGAAAGCGTGGGGAGAGGGGCAGATCCCTCGGGATGGTTGATTAACGCGAAGGGGGGGAACCCAGCAGCAGGGAGCACGGGTAACCTCTGGGGCACCGAAATACCAGCAAAGTGACCTGGAGCCTTCTTATCCGCCCTCTGCCGCCCGGACTGCCCAGAGGGTAAAATTAACTCTTGACACAGGATCTCCCTGGGCGTCAGCACATCCAACTCAGCGGGGGGGGGAGGGAGGGGTGTAGTCTCCCTCACAGCGACTGTATAACGGCCATCCCAGCTTCCGGCCATGGGGGACTAGCCAAGGGGAGAGCGCCACGGCAGGTTTGCCCTTTCTGACGGCCTCAGAGGAAGCCCTGATCCACTCATACAGCTGCCGGGAGGGTGGGTGCAAACTCGGCTCCCCTGCTCCCCGGAAGAAACAATCAGAGCCCCCTGGGGCCACCGGGCTGTGGGCTGTGCTCACCCAGGGCCCTGCTGGAGAATGAAGCTGTAATCTCCTCTCTCCCATAGGGGTCAGCGCTGCTCCAAGAGTTGGGGGGCGGGGCACCATGATCGGGGATCCCTTGAGTAGCCTCCGCCGGCCCCTGGTTGGAACGTAAAGTTGGGCCCCCACCGCAAGGGTAAATCCTCTCACCCCACAACAGGAGCCTGTGTCACCCTGGTGCGATTGGGGTGATCGCTGTGGGATGCCGTGGGCAGCTGGCACTGCCGGAGGGAAACAGAAGGTGCCAATTCAACCCCATCAGGGATTGGCTGGGTCTGGAGCAGAGGCAATGAGGGATAGAGCCACCCGGACCAATCAAGGCACCGTCGTGGGCTGGGAAGGACCGGTAGGTTGGGGAAATAGACATTCCCCCTGAGCCCTTCGGGGTACCCTGTTTCCCTGTCCCCTGCCTGCCATTCCCGAGTCAGCCAAAGGGGTCACTGCAGAGCAATCGAAAAATCGGCAAAGCAGCCTAAAGGATTTGGATGCTCAGCTCCCATTAAACTGAATGGGGACTGGGTGTTTAAATCCCCCAGGCAGCACTGCAAATCCCACCCACTCCGTCCCCAGGAGACGAGCTCCCTGCTCTTGGTGAGCTACCAGCTTCCGACAGCCGGGGGAGGCAGGCTCTGAGCCCTCTCCCGCGTCCCGTCAGACGGGAATCCCAGATGGGCAACGTGACAATGAGCAAGGGAAGCAGAAGGGCTTCAGAGGAGCGATCGGGGCTATACATAGCAGTGTAGACGTTCGGGCCAGGGCTCTGACACCGCACGAGGGGGGCGGATCCAGCCGCAGCCCAAACGCGAACAGCCCCGCAGGCCGAGCCAATTAACCTGGGATCTGAGACTGACGCCGTGGGGGTTTTATGGCATTGCAGACGGTCTCTGAGACAGCAGGGGAGACACATATGGGGAGATGCTAGCGAAGGGAGGCCTGGCCTGGTGCTCCGAGGTGTGACCCGGTGGGTTTGGTTTGAATTACTTTTTTCGGGGGGGGCAGCGGGGGGAGACATCGTTGCCAGGACTCAATACACCAGACAGAACCTTGTGAAGTATTTTGGGTTGCAGAGTTCTTGTCAAGACCCGAGAAGGGAAACTGAGGGCTGGGTGCTGCAGGGCCGCCCCGTGCCATAAGGGGGTGATCTGGAGGCAGCAACCCCGGGTTACAAGGGCCAAAACCTTGCAGGGCGGCTCGGAAGAAAGCTGATGGTGCCACCCTAATCACCAGGCACAGGGTCCACGCCAACAGAGGGGCTGGCAGAGGGAAAGGGAGCGCCCCGCCGCGGGGGGCTGAAAGTCTCCCCCATCCGGAAGCGCTGCTCCGGTGATGCTCTCTGGAGGCCGGTCCCAAGCCGCGAGCGTGGCTATATTTAGCGCTGTAATGATTATCGAGAGTGAATCACGGGAGGCCACGTGCTGGTTTCGGCCGGAGGGGCCGTCTTCGCGGTGCTGCATTATTTATGGCACGACACGAGCTGACAAGATCTGGAGCTGGGAGGGGGGAGCGAAGGAGGCGTCTGGATTTTGGGAGACAGACGTGGGGATGGGCTGGGAGCACGCGGGGGGTGGGGGAGGATCCCTCCGAACTCAGAGCTGATGTTTCTGATCATGGCTTGACCCCAGCTGGTCCCAGTCAGAGGGGATGCTCCAAGGTACGCCCGAGACTTCTTAGACTCCAGCCCTCCTGGGCTCCCCTGAATGTCACTTTCTAAGTCGCCTGGAGGGCATGAGCTGGGGACAAGCTTCCAAGAGTCACATGCCAGGATTCCCCACGTTAACCCACAGCTCCGGGTCAATGGGAAGCGGGGAAGTGGGGGCAGGGCCCTGTCAGGACATGCAGCCTGCGAGCGTGGCAGGTAGGTCCCACGTTGGGATCCCCGCCTGGCTGGGGGGCACAGATTGATCAACCTCCAGGCAGAGGAGCCCGGGGGACTCTCAGCGCAAGGAGAGTGGAGCTGGTGAGTGGGGGAGGGGGATACAAACACCCCCCGCTACCGAACTCCTGGGGCCGCAGGAAGGGAGTGGGGTGGGAAAGTTCCCTTAAGCCCAAGGCTTCCTCCTCCGCAGCCCCACCCTGCTTCTCCCCTCCCCTCCAGCCTGCCCCGGCTCCTGTGCCAGGCCGGGCAACCCAGGGGGCGTGGGGGTTTGGCTCCCCCGTGGCACGGAAAGGTGTGATGCTGGCGCTGCGCAGAATGCAGAGCTCCTGTCTCACTCCCTGCTGAGTCAGTTCCACCGAAACCTGCCCCCCAGGTCTGGCCTGGGGCCCGGCTCCCCCCTCACCCCCCCGCTTCCCACCACCCGAGAGCCGGCGGTTCTGATCCCGGGAACAGCTGCCCTTCGCTCCGAGCACCACCAGGGGGACCCTACGCCTGGAGCATCCCTGATCAATTCACGGGTCCCTCTGCCAAGCACCAGCCCCCAATTCAGGGCCTTGATCCTGGGGTGCAAAGCTCCCTCCTGCTCTTTCCAGGCCTAACTCGGGCTCCCTTGCCCGGGGATCCCGGGTGCTTCCCGATCCTCTCATCACTAGGCCCTACGCTCATTACATAAGAACGGCCAGACTGGGTCAGGCCAAAGGTCCATCGAGCCCAGTGTCCTGTCTACCGACAGTGGCCAATGCCAGGTGCCCCAGAGGGGATGAACAGAACAGAGAATCATCAAGTGATCCATCCCCTGTCGTCCAATACCAGCTTCTGGCAAACAGAGGCTAGGGACACCATCCCTGCCCAGCCTGGCCAATAGCCATTGATGGACCTATCCTCCATGAACTTATCTAGTTCTTTTTTGAACCCTAGTATAGTCTTGGCCTTCACGACATCCTCTGGCGTTGTTCTGCACCTGCCCTAGACAGGATCACACCTCCCTCCTGGGCGCTTGCGGGAAGCCCTGTGATGCTTCAAGAAATGCAGAGGCAGAAAGGAGGCCGGATGGAGGTTTCTGGATGTGTGGGAGCTGGTTACAGCAGCCTGGGAAAGGATCTGCTCACCCTGGGAGAGTAGTAGAGGTGTCATCGGTGTTATTTACGGGCGAGTAAAACACCCACCCCCTTTTGCACCTATTGGCATCCAGGGATGGTGGGCAAGGAGATTGGGTGCTTGGGCTGGTACATTTCCAGGCCCATTTTGAACAGTTGGGGGGACTTATATTTTTAGTGTGGGCAGGAAAGTGGCGGGGTGAGGGGGGGGCACTCCACGTCACCCACGTGTGGGAAGGGAGGCAAAAGTGAGACCTTGTGCAAGAAGTAGGGAGGATGATCGAGTGGATCAGGCACTGGGCAGGGACTCAGGAGACCTGGGCAAGTCACTGAACCTGCCCTGGGGCTCGCTCCCCCAGCTGGACAATGAGGCTAGCACAGGGCACGGCGAGGATAAACCCCACTAGCGACTCAGAGAGCGGCGTGACGAGAGCTGGAGATGGGGGCACTACAGAGTCAGGCAGGGGGCTGCATGGACTCTCAGAAGATTAGGGTTGGAAGAGACCTCAGGAGGTCATCTAGTCCAACCCCCTGCTCAAAGCAGGACCAATCCGTAACTAAATCATCCCAGCCAGGGCTTTGTCAAGCCGGGCCTTAAAAACCTCGAAGGATGGAGTGCCCCAGGGGTCACCGGGCTCTCCAAGACAGGTCCCCCTTTGTCTGAAGGGCACCGCACAGAAGAGAGGGGAGAGAATCCAAGCGATTCCAGACCCCAGGCAGCCTTTGAACGGGCCTGGCAGAAACCTGCTTTTCCTTTCCAAAGTGACCCAGACAAAGGCGCTGGCTCCGGGCGCAATGCTGAGTCCCGCCTGGTCAGCAGTTCCAGGCCAGACGCTGAATCCGAATGAACTGCCGCCAGCAAACAGTGCTGGGGTTGGGGGTTGCTCGGGACAGGCCCCTCGGTGCCTGGGATCCCCGCCGCTCCCTGGGACAGCTCGGCAGTGCTGGGAAAGGGGGTGGAGGGGAAAGCGGCCAGGCCACGGTCCCACGCGGAAGGGAGTTATCGGGTGGTCTCGTCGCACTCACGCTGCCCGTTCTGCACCAGGCCGCCCCGGGGAAAGGCAGACAGGAGTCAGGCCCACGTCGGAGCCCTGTCACACAGCAGGAGAAAAGCAGGCCTGTGTCCGGGGAAGGGATTTCTGAACAGCTCCCGGATGCAGCCAGGGCTCGGCGTCAGAGTTTCTGGATGAAGGTTTTCAGGTCCTGGGCTGGGATACAGCCGAGGGGGTCCCTGGGCCTTGTGCTTTGGGCAGTCGCGTCGCGGTTCTGCGCACAGCAGAGGTTAGAGAGCCAGGTCTCTGTGCTGGAGGCTTCAGGATTTGGTGCTGAGGTACCGCAGTCCTGTCTCGCTGCCACACGTTCCCCGATGCTGCGAGGCAGCCGAGGGACACGTCTCAATGTCAGATGACTCCAGATGCTGCCATCACACAAAGCTCCGTTTTAACGGGCTCCTCGCATCCATCGTGGAGCAGGACGGGGAAAGGGGCTAACAGTTG